TTTTAGTTGTCCAGATAATTTCTTTCTATTTTTTGGTAGAGACGGGGTCTCGTTCTTGCTCAGGCTGGTCTAGAACTCCTGACTTTGAGGGATCCACCCGCCTCGGCCTCCCAGAGTGCTAGGATTACAGGCGTGAGCCACCGCGCCCGGCCGATTTTCTTAAGTTCTATATAGATTCTGGTTATCAGCCCTTTATCAGATTTGTAGAAAGAAAATATTTTCTCCCATTCTGTACGTTGTCTATTTGCTCTAATGATAGTTTCCTTGGCTGTAAAAGAAGCTTTTTAATTTGATTAGGTCCCATTTGTTTATTTCTGTTGCTGCCATGATTGCTTTGGACGTCTTCTTCATAAATTCTTTGCCTAGGCGGATGTCTAAAAGAGTCTTCCTGACATTTTCTTCCAGAATTCTTAAGGTGTTATGCCTTAGGTTTAAGTCTGTTATCCATGGTGAGTTGATTTTTGTGAGAAGTGAGAGGTGAGGATCTAGTTTCAGTCTTCTGCATGTAGGTATCCAGTTTTGCCAGCACCACTTATTGAATAGAGATTCTTTTCCTCAATGTATATTTTTGTCTGCTTTGTCAAAGCTTAGATGAAAATATGAGGTTGGTTTTATATCTGGGATCTCCATCCTATTCCAAAGGTCTATATCTCTGTTCTTGTGCCAGTACCATGCTGTTTTGTTTGCTATAGCCTTGTAGTAAATTTTGAAGTCTGACAGATTGATGCCTCCCAATTTGTTTTTTGCTTAAGATTGCTTTGGCTATATGAGGTCTTCTCTGGTTCCAGACAAAGCACAGAATTATTTTTCTAAATCTGTAAAGAATGATGGTGGTATTTTGATAGGGATTGTATTAATTCTGTAGATCATTTTAGGTAGTATGGACATCTTAACGATATTGATTCTACCAATCCATGAGCATGGTAGGGATTTCCATCTGTTTATCTCTTCTGTAATTTCTTTTCCCAGTGTTTCGTAGTTCTCCCTACATATGTCTCTCCCCTCCTTTGTTAAATATATTCCTAAGTATTTAATTTTCCTTGATGCTATTGTGAAAGGTGTTGCATCTTTGATTTGATTCTTAGCTTGACTGTTATTGGCGTATATGAATGCCACTGATTTGTGTGCATTAATTTTGTATCCTGAGACTTTACTGAATTCATTTATCAATTCCAGGAGTCTCTTGGTAGAATCCTTGGGATTTTCTAGATATAATAGCATGTCATCAGCAAAGAGTGAGAGTTCGATCTCTTCTTCCCCCATTCAGACACCCTTAATTCCCCTCTCTTGTCTGATTGCTCTGGCAAGGACTTCCAG